AATATGTCATCTTTAGGATTTAAGACTGTTACACTAATAGATGTAACTTACGTGCAGAAGTGGTTTTCATTTTCAGTAGATTTTATAAGTACTATCTAATTAATCCCCAAATTACCTTGAGTGTGAAAATTCGCCTAAACGGGTCTACTGAATTGGTTAAAAGGCATGGGAAGAAAGAAATCTTTCTTATGATGAATACAGGCCTGTTTTGCATTCCTTGGGTTTTAATAAAATGAACTGATGCAAATTACTTCAATCAAGTGCTTGCTCATGGCCCAAATTAGGTTCTCTTGCAGTCATGACTGTTGGAATTATGACTAATCCTCTGTGATAACAGCCAATTGTAATTTTACAATGCAAATCTAAGCAGAGTTGTAGCATGAGTGAACGTAATGCCCCAAATCAGTTGTTTAAGAATAACTGTGTAAAAATATGATGAACCATTCATCATTAGCCTCAAGTCCCAATTTCTCTAAATTAGACATTGAAACTCTGGGTTGAACAACAATGGAATAGAGTTGACTACTTGTCTTTTCTGTATTCCTGGCATAGATAAGTTCTCGTAGTGGTAAATTTGAGCTAGTACCTTTCTTCTCGTGTACAACGGAAATGAGAGTTGTTGTTTTTTCACTTCTGTCTACAAGATTGTCACGTTAGTAACTGAAACTTCGTATTTTTCTTAAATTTAGAGCTAATTGTTTCTCCTTGCAGGCAGCAGACTCTGTTGTATCTTTCAACGCTTGAAAGAGAATCACACTCTCTGATAATCACTCCCTTGTATCTTGGAGAATTATTTGTTGTAAAAGGGACAATATTTCACCACATTGACCTTCCATTAGTAGGTTATCGCTAGGCAGACCAGGCACTTGAATTTAAGACCAAACCCTCTCCGTTCCTGTCCTTGTTGTGACTGGTCCTTTTCTGATACAACAACAGTGTCAAAAATGGAGCTTGCACAGGAAGTCAAATAATGAGTGATCTATTTTCAAGGACTTGAATATACCAAAGCCCTTAAATTATTGCAATTGTTTTTGGAGTCTTAGCTTAACAAATGGGCTGGGAACTCTATTAACAGATACTATTAGGCACGTTGTACCGCAAACCCTTTAAAACCTTGGCCATTGTTATGCATCTCACGTTCTTACCTTCCTTTCAGCAAATAAACTATCTACAACACAGTCACAAAATTTATATTGAAAAACACGGGAAAATAAATAAACATGAACTTAGTGTTCTGTGTAGGCCAAGTTTCCCCTTCTCATGTTTACTGATTTTGTTTAATTTCTGTCTTTCATGTCATTATTTTTTATCCCTATAATTAACAACATTAAAGAAAAGTAAATGTAGATCTTGGAAATTATGCTTGTGAGTTCATGTCACATTTTGAGATATTTACCACAAGCATCACAAGTATCCGTCATCTGCTTGTTTATTCAAGCTTTTGTTCTGAAATTGTCACAGTTC